TGTAAAGTTCTTAGATTATTTTCCTCAAAAATATAACACAACATATTCTGACAGGAAAAATATACCATTAGCCACCCCCTAAAAATCCTTTTACAACATTGATACCTGTCAGAGCACATTTTCTCCATTTTGGGGAAATACAGTGTTTTATGTCTGATGTGCCTGTGTTGCCAAGAAAGTGATGTAAATATGAGCCATTTACATAGCCCCAAGGCAGATGATTTCTTCATTAAGGGCCCTTCTCCAAGGGAATTTGTAGGAAAGTTGAGATGAATGCAATAATGTAGGAGGCTGATGTGGCTGACTCCAAGGACATTGGATCCTGGAGCAGAGGCTCTCTCTCAGGAATTCCCAGGCTCTAATTTGTGGTGGCTCCATGGAGCTGCTCCGGGGGCTCAGTGCTGTTTGGGGCAGGAATTACCTCGGCAGTGCTGCACACCCTGGGCAGTAACACTTGCCACTTTATTCAGGGGTAAAAGCACAGAATGGCATCAGTGGGATGCACATCTCATATTTCATCCTCTGCTTGGGGCTTTTTCCTCCTGCCTGTGAGATGTGGTGGGAGATGGGGGATGAAGGGCAGGGGACACTCTGTCACTGCACTGGAGCTGCACTGCACACGCTGGCAGAGCCAGACCTTTCCTCAGCTTACCCTGAACATACCTCCTTCCTTCTGAAGCCTGCTTTCTTCACCATATTCTTACAAGAGAAAGGCCTGGGATACTTCTGCATGGACCTGAGCATCCAGAATTAACAAATGTTTCCATCATGACAAAGTTGCATTTTAATGCAATATTCACTGTACCTACTTTAAGAAGAGAAAGTGGAAGAGAAACCAAAAGCAACTGCTAAAAACCAGAAAGATTAATAGTAAACAAGGGCTATACAAATTTTTAGGTGTTGGAGGAATTAGAGTGGAATAGAAAACTCTCCAAAGTACTCAGTGCAGAGAAAAACAGATGAAAAGGTTTATTTTGTCCATCAGGGAAATGTTTCTCTCTTGCCTCAGCCCGAGAAAGCTGTAGCTGTGTTATTCATGGGACAGAGCAGTAACTGATGTAAGAGGAGATTTCTACCACATTCAGCTTTTCGTTTTTCTTTGGTAAACCAGCCTTGAAACTTCTGCTTGTGGAAAAACTTGTCAAATCTCATCATCTAAAGTATGAAATGATGTGTGATTTAAAAGTGGGGGTTGCCTCCTGTGTTGGACAAATGTCATGGTGTATTTTGCTGGCCAAGACCTGTGCTCTGACACGCTGCTGTTCCTCTGGTGGGTTTTTTTAGCTAGTCTTGGAAGTGCAGTTGAGGGAGGCAGAAGCAGGATCCTGGCTTTTGAGCCAAAAGCAAGACCTGAGCTCTAGCAGCTGGGGAGTTGGGTTTTTTCTCTGTAGCTTTGTGTCTCAGTCACCTGGAGCAGTGCAGGTCTGGATGGAGCATGGAGGCTTCCCAGGAGCGGTGGAGGGTCTTGATCCCTGCTCCCTCTTCCCAGGAGAGTGTGTGTAGTCAGCATGGGAAGGCAAGGCACCAGTTTTGTCTGGATGTGAGCTGTGGTGGGGGAAGAGCCCAGGAAGCTCTGCACAAGGGACTTGCCTGCAGTGGGGCACTCTCTGCTTCATGGCCGTGCCAGCCAAAGGGTGTTCTGTGTTAATTCACTGCCACATTATGTACACTGTCTCATACCTTACTGATTTCATACATTAAAAACCACAAAGATAATGAATGTTAACACATGGTTGGGGTTTTTTAATGAACCCTATCACTGGATGAGCCGTGGCCTTTGAGAAGCAGCTTTGAGTAAGTCATGGGGCTGTGGAAGCAACCCTGAGTATTTCATTTTCATTTCATGTGTTCTGAGTAGTTTGCTTTTTTATTGAAAACAAAGTTAGATTCCTCTCTGAGTGAATGGCCAGTGAAAGCGATAGTAAGTATGTTTTATAGAAGTTTCATATAACTTGTAGCTACAAGTTGGAAGGATGCTTCTGACAAGTTTATAAATGTGTAGTAGGACAAAATTATCTTGGTGTTTTAAAGAGAATATATTTTGTAACATTTTGTATTGAGGACTGAGATTTCTATTAGGAAATTAGGTTAGGAAAAGGGAAGTTTCTGTAGGAGGACAGTTATTTTCTGATGTAGTGATTAATGTGGATTTCATTTTTTGTCATGGCTTTGCTGTGAGACAGGAGTGGCAGATAGCAGGAGAGTATTATTTGTACCATGGCCAATCTTTGAGAAAGGGGACATACATTTTTATTGCAAGAAAAATAGTAACAGATTTAGCTGTAATCTTGTTTGAAATACCAAAGTGTTAGAAATAAGTTGTGTGTATGGGAGTATTGTCCTTTTCCTGTTGCCCTCCATCAGACAGGGAAGCAACTGAGGTTTTCTCCCAGCCTCTCTGATGAATTTATGCCACAGCCCAGGGCACTGCTGCTGCTGCACATCCTGAACTGATGGCACATCTTTACTTGCATTTGAAATGCTTTGGGTTAAGTGAGGCCTAAGTGTACACAGCTAATGCTTTTTGCTTATAAAAGTGTGTCACAGGTAAATGCATTTTTTAGTTCCTTAAGGAATAAAATTAAATTAAAATGTGGAGTTGCTCTGGAGTTTATTAATTCTGAGCTTGGGAATATGTAAATAACACAGGATTATTAGAGTTCACTGGTCCAAGTGCCTCTTCAGTACATAATTAATTTCTAATGCTGTTTGCAGGAAACTCTTTGGTCTCTTTTGAGCTTTGCCAGCCAAGATGGGTGTGTTGGCCTTGAAGAAGCAATGCTGCATGGTGTGGAGAAGAGTCAGTGCAAAAGTTTACCAGCAAAACACCAGAGTTGTTGCCCGTCACAGCAACTGATGTGCCAGAGATTTTGGCTCCTTCAGCCTAATGTTGGTGGCACAATTCAGAGTTGTTCATGTTCTGAGAAAATGAATCTAATATTTGGGGCTTATATTACAGTATTCCTAGAGAATATTGCAGAAACATATCTTTATTAAAAGAGTGGCACGAAAAATAGAAACTTCATTACATTTGAAAATCCAGAAGTAGAAATTTTGCTGGTTAACATTTATCATTAATATGCAATATTAATCCTTCTTGAAAGAGCAAAGATTGGTTTTGAAAGCTTTTTTTTTTTTTTTTAATTGCATTCAGTGGCATCTTTGAGGCTTGTGTTTACAGAGAAGATGAACTTCATTACATGCTAATACTTTAAAATGAGGCTGTGTCTGGACAGTAATTTTTTTTCTTGGTATGTGTGTCATTGGTGCAATCAGTTTGATTCTTCTTTGATTCTGAATATTCCATTTCACGCATGATCTTTCTTTCTGAAGCTGTTGAATGTCAAAGATAAAATCTGAAGTGTTTAATCATTGGGTATCCATTGAGAATTTGTTTGATGTGAATTGGCCTGCTCTGTTAGCTGACAAAAATTAGTGTGGCATCTGCTGTCTTTAATGAACATGTGCTAAGTTAAGTGTGAGAGGCTTTCCAACCAAGTGTGAGGTTTTTTATTAACATAGTTTTGCTGAGTTTTAATTTGGTTTTAAATTTACATTTTCTGCTGTATTCCGAAGTATGTGGCAAACAAACATGAGGGGTATTGTCATTTCTTAGAATTATTGCTCATGTTAGTGGCAAAAATTCTTTCTTGGTGACTTCTTCCAAAATCCTTTTTCTTCATTTCGCAAATTCTTTTGTGGGAGGCAAAGACAAACCAATGGATGAAGCATAAAAAGTGCTTGAAGGAAGTGTATCTGCAAAACATTGGAATTGGCAAAGGATTTAGCAGAAATCGGTTTTTATTTGGCTTCTAAATCTAATCTTCTAAACTTACATTTGTGCAAAACATTCGTTGTTGAATATTTGGCTCTGAGGAAATTATCTTCCTTAGTTCCTCATCCTGACATTGAAGTGCTTACTGCAGCCTTGATAGAATTTTGTGGTACAGCAAGAAGAGAATTCCTTCTAAAAAAATGTCAGTGGGTGGATGGGGGTGGTTTTCCTGAAAACCAAAGCAAAACACTCTTAAGAACTTCCTTGCTTGTCCTGGAAAATGCAAAAAACCCAACAAAACAACAAAAACCCCCAAACCATCCAAGCAGCCTCTTCTCTTGTGTCTGCACGCAGGGAGAGTGGTGGGAGAGCTGGGTGCCCGTGGTGTGTCAGAGGTGTCCCGTGGTACCCATGTGGTGCTGGCTGACCCTGAGCTCTGCAGGGATGCATTTTAGTTTTGTCCACTGGGCAGACTTTGTTTTCCAGTATAGGAGTGTCAGGGTTTTATCCTAAAAGGTGAATCCACCTCTTGTTGCATTCAGAGTGCACACTTGTTAACTCCTCCGATACATCCTCTGAATTTAGTGTGACCTATCATTATCCCAGTTCCATGTTTGTGCTTGCAGCACCAGGGGATTTTCCTTCATGTCTTAGTTTTATTGTGATATAAGGAATGATAAAATATAGTGTACTGATGATGATAAATGTGAAAAAACCAGGTATTTTTGGAGATTGGTAGAAATCCTGAATCTGTTCTGTTTTGGATTGATTTAGATCTCAACAGGTAATGAATTGAAATAATAATCTATATTGAAATGTCTTTCACAATAACACAACATTAATACTCTGTAATTGTGCTCGAGGTTGACAAATGAATTCCATCTTCTAGTTTTGGAATAGTGTATCATGAGTGAAAAATGAAATAAAATGTTTGAGCCAGTGGCCTGCAGGGGTTTCATGCTTTTTGGGGTGTCTTGGTCATTTTGATGTAAGAGTCCTTGTAATTTTTCTTAAGTGTTCTTTGTTGAACGGGACAAATCCAGAAAATCTTACATTACTTTGCTTTTGTTTTTGCTCCCTAGACAGTGCCCTGTTGTAAACTAAAATCACACATTCCTGAGTGTAAGCCGATCATGTTCCCAATGGAAATTTCAGGAATACTTGTGGCTACTTTCAAAATGTGGAAATCTATTTATTTTTTTTTTCCACTTGTTTTTCTTCCCAGCTTTTGGCACTGACCGCGTTCATCTGCATAGAGACCATCATGGAATGCTCCCCTTGCGAGGGCCTTTATTTCTTTGAGTTTGTGAGCTGCAGTGCACTGGTGGTTACTGGAGCTCTCCTGCTTTTGTTCAGTCTGAACCTTCACACAAGAATACCCCAGATCAACTGGAATCTTACTGTAAGTTCATTCGAATTCTCACTCTGTTAAAAATAGCTGCAAATCTGGTTTAAGTTTGGTCTTTGGGCTTTGCTTTCTCCTGTTGTTTAATATCATCTATGAGTGTTCTTTATGCTGAGTAAAGTATACACTTATTTACATTAATTTTGAATGCTAACAGCAGAATGAGCTGTGAAATGTAGCAAGATTAAACTACACTAAATAGAACTAAAATTGTGTTCTCGTAGATTATCTCTGGGAGGACAAACTTCCTGCTAATGGCAGCAATTATGCTTTGTGGATGGAGTGGATAAAAATGTAGCCCATGGTTATTTAACTTTGACAGATGCTATATTTACAGCAGCCCATTGTTCTCTCTTAATCTGTTTCTTTTTATATTAGGACAAATTTGCTACATTTATTTTCTTACATTGGGCAGTAGTGTAGAAAATTAGGTGCTTTCTGTGAAAATTTGTTGTTTTGTATTGCCTACACACCTAACTATTAAACACTGACTGGCAGTGTTTAATGTGTTCTCAGATACAAGGAGTTTTAGGAAGAAAACTGCTGGCAGTGCACATTCTTTTTGTACAAGTCTCTATTTTCATGCTGTATTCTGAGTTAAACTTTCAGACTGGGTTGCATAAACACAGGTCACAAAATCAACATGTTAAGTCACTCTAGAAAAAGATCTGTCAGCTTCAAGGACAATATTTACACCAACTTCTTTGGACAGTACAGATACTATTGTGCTAGTGTTCTGTTTTATGTTATAACAGTAATTTTGCAAGTACTGTTGGAGTCCCAGACGTTTTTAGGCTTCTTAGTGTGATTTTTAAAAAAAAAATAATTTAGAGCATAATTTATTAATGTTGCAGTTTGCTTAGCTTCTCAGCCTAAATTACTTGTTTAAATTGAGACTGGAACGTGGAATTAGATGATCTACCCTGCATAATTAATTGATGAATTCCTTCTAGGAGTACTTGGCAGATAGATTTGGTGTTCTGTTCAGCTGTGGCTGAATTGTCCAGAAATGATCCCTTTGTGGTGGCACCAGTTGTGTCTGCAGTAGGACATGTTAGGAGATAATTTGGGGAAGGGGGGTTAAAAATCCAAAAATCCAGTTGTGTTTTGGGTTTTTGTTTTGTTTTGTTTTATAATGATATTTCAGATTTTGAGCAGTGGTCGTGTTCTGCACCCACTGCCTAAACAGCATTTGAGCAGCTTGAGCAGGTTTGGGATCAAACCAGGTGGCACATGGAATACACTGCAATGTGTATTTGCTCTAGTTCAGCTTGCCAGGTCCAGAGGCAGGAGGAATTTGCCATGATCTCCCGAGTCTCATTCTGTTAGTTGTTTACTAAAGATTAAATGCTTCTCCCACCCTTAAACCAGAGTTCTCCAGAAGTGAGAAGGGAACTGGCAGCTTGTGTCTTCCATGAGCTGATGAGACCATCCTTCCTGGTGTTTCTTACAGATTTCAGCAGTCTGATTATATTTGATTTTTATTTCTGATTATTTGATTTTAACAAACAGTTGGGACTGTTCCTCCAACAGGAGTGAGGGAGTACCTTCTTTATTCAGTGCTTGGGACCATTCTGTGATTCTCCAGCTGCTTCTCCTGCATGTGCAGAGTGTGAGATCAAAGGCTGCTGATAAAACACCTGTGGGACATTACTTTGGCCAAGTTAGTAGGAAATCTAAAAATGTAGGGTTCTGGATGATTTTTTTTTTTCTTTTGCTTATTTTGGCATTTTTATTCTTTACAATTTAAATGTATGTTCATACATTATTTTCCTCTTTCAATATTTATTACTTCCCTGTGTTTTGATGGTTATTTTTATACTTTTTCAGTCTCTGTATACGACACAGTTACTACAGGAGTTGCTTTCTGAACAACAATCTTTCACATCCCTGAGTGCTTTAGGAGGAAGTCACTCCTGTGTATGCATAAATTCATCAAGATACATGCTTTTAAAAACATATATAACTTTATAATGCATATTTCCCTTATGGGAAGTCTCAAGCATTGCTTTCAGAAGCTGTGTGAGAAGAAGAGGCTGTTGCAGTGCTTGAAGGAATTTAATCAATTTAAAATTAGGAAGAAACCTTTCTTGAAAAATAGTACTTCTTCCTAGGAACCATTGAAAACATTTGGTTTCAAATGGTCCAGTGTATTAGAAAGTACCTGGCCATCAACTGCTATTGTCCAACACAGGATTGTTTCCTTTAAAAGTTTATTAAAATAAGAATTATGTCCAATGTGTTGTGGATATTGGCAGATGTCCCCTGTCCCTGACTGGAATGAAAATGTGGGTCAGTATAGACTAGGATCTAACAGATATGCAAAGTTGCTCAATTTTTAAAATATATATATTTATCCATTTGGGGAAAAGAGATTTGTTTTGATCCTAATTAGAGGATGGGTTGCCAATCATTTTCATATTTGCCTGAGGTAAACATGCAAGAAACATGGGGCTGGAGAGGGCAGAATAGAGCCTTGTCTGGGTGTGTTGGAGAGAGGCTGGTTTGTTCCAGCAAGATGAAAGAACAGTCCCTTGTCTGTTGTGCAGCACTATCAATATTATGCAAAAATGCAAAAGCTGGGGAACCTGTCAGTGGAAATTTCCATTTCCTTTATGAGCCTCACAGCTCAAAGGGAGACAGGAGTGGCCCAGGGGAATGGGGAGCACAGCAGCTCCTGCTCCACCTTGAGCTCAGGCACATTTGCTTTCAGATAGAGCCAATGAATTTTGCTATAATTTTGTCTTTGCCTAAATTATCCTTTTTTCTAAAATTCATGATTTGCATTCTCATGTGATGTGCAGGGAGAGCTGAAGGTCTGGTATCCAAGGGTGAGCATGAGCTGGCCCTGCAGGAGCAGGGCTGGGCAGGAAAGGTGCTGGAGTCCTGGGGGTGAGCTGTGACTGGGACCCTGCACTGGGGTGACACCTCACTGCTGCCAAGGAGCTGGGAACACTGGAATTTGGCAGTGTCCCTTGGATGGGAGTTTGTGATGATCTGAGTACCAATGTAAATCAGTGCTTGATCACCAGTAGAATGAGCTGTTTATCTCTGTGTAGGGAAAAAAAAATCTTCCAAGACATTTTGACCATTGATTTTTATTTTTTTTTTCCAATTATTTTCTTGAAGCACTCATTGGAATTATGGTAGGTTATTTTTTGGAGTCCAGTTCTGACTGCAGTTTCTCAGCTTAGGGCAGCTCAGAAGTGAGGCACAGAACTGAGCACAGCACAAAATCAGAGTTCCACCAGGCTGGACTCAGTCCCAGGGAAGCACCAGGCAGCAAACAGGGACCCAGGTGTGTGCTAGAGCACACAGACCAGCTGGGGAGTTCTGTGCTGCCTGAACATTGATTTCATCATCTCTGCAGGGTTGGGGTTTTTTCATTGTTGCAGCAGTGAAAATTCATGTGCAAAGCAACTGACACTGGAAGGAGTTGGCAGAAAATTGCATGTGATGCCCAAATGACAAACTGTCCTGTGCCAGCCTTGCCTCTGCAGAGTGTAAAACTGTAATTCTGAGGCCTTCACAGGGCAATCTTGATTTTTATTTCTATTTTTAATTTATTTTTCCCCCTTCTGTTTTGAACAAACATCATGCTTTCCTTAGCTATTGAATGAAAAATTTAGTCAGTTATCCTTGACTTCTATGTGTACTGCTCTCAAAATAGCAGTACCTATTAAGGATAAAAATGATCATTTTATAAGTTTAAAAACAGTTATTAGAATTAATTTCCTCTGAGCTCTTCATGGACTGTTCTCATTTGGTGCATGGTATAGATGTTACTCTGTAGTGAATGCAGTCTCTAGTTTTAAATACAAGAAACATCATGTATTTTGGTAGTTATTGAAGGTGTGGTCTATTGCTTTGTGACAGTAACTTTCTGAATTTTTTGTTCATGGACTCTTATTGGGGAAGCAGTGCTTATGTCTGTCTTGTGCTTACCTAGGTAACTAAATATATGAGGGGGAAAAAGAGATGGCAATTAATGCTCATATGGTTAATTTGGTTCTTTCTACCTAGCCCTTATTTTTGCTTGATGAACCATGTTTTCATTTTTAATTGTAGTGCAAAATACTCAAACAGTGTTTAATAACAGAACAAAATTCTGGGAGTTTGACCAGAGGTGCTTGGTTTAGAGGATTGACTGGTATGTTTGTAACCTTCAACTTGATAGCTTCATATGGAAGAAAGGGAAGATGTTTCCAAACCTTGCAAATGGAGGAAAAATTACGGTCATTGTACAAAAGAATTAAATAAAAATTTAACAAATATTAATAACCACACTCTTCTTCCTTTCCCCTGAAAAAAACCTCAGCAAACCCAAACAAAACTAAAAGGAAATGTTGCTTTGAGCTGTCTTCTGTGGAAGTTAAATCAGGCACCAGCAGGCCACTGACTTCTGTCAGCTTTTGTGGCAAAGTCAGGCTGTTGAAATGTGCAGGCTTCTCTTCCTGAGAACATTAGTTTAGCCACTTTAATTTCCATCTGGATGTAAAGTTTGGGATTTCAGAAAGCAAATGGCAAGAGAAACCACCACTTTATATGTCATCTGTCTGTTTACATGAGTTTCAGCTGCAGTATGGCACTGTCTGGCTTTTAAAGAGTACCTGGTCACTTGTGCAGGATCACGTACAGGATAAAAAGGCTGGGCAGGAATTTTGATTGAATGATTCTTAAAAGCTTGTGTGAAGTTGTGGGGAGCTGTGGATCAAGACGTGGATGTTACTGAAGCCTCTGAGTGTCTGAGGTAGCTCCTGGCGATGTCCCAGCCTGAAAGGGTGAGCAGCAGTGTAGAAGATTTCAGGAGGAACTTGGTGGCAGCTGCCAGGTCTGTTAACAGCTCTCATTTGTAGCTCCAGTTCTGCCTTTCCATCCTCATTAATCCAGGAGCTATACCTGCCTGGACCCTTAAAAACCAGAGTGTGGGATGTCACAGAGTCATGGAATGGGGCTTCCCACCTTCACAGCTGAACCAGCAGAGCAAAATCCTTGCCCTCTTCTAGCATAAAAATATTTATCTTGGCATAAACCCATCTTCATCCACGACTTACAACATCTCCTCTGCCTTGTCCTTCTCCTGAGTGGGACAGAGAGCAGATTTATGTCCTTGGATGCTCTTTGTTGGACTGACAGGACCACTGGGGACCAAGCAGAAAGACTTGCAAATAAACCAGCAAGTGACCAGAAGTCATTTGTTCATTTGAAATCATTTTGGAAAGGAGAAAGGGAGCAGCAGCAGCAGCAGCCTGGAGTGGGTTTGATTCAGCTCAAAGATTTGATTCTGTTATGGATGGCAGCTCTCTACAGTATTTTATGGCACAGCATACTGTCTCATGAGGTTGCTGTAATTTCAGCAGAAATTCTTCTACCTCTGTGATGTGGTTTTACTTTGTCTATAAATATAATAGCAAGAACTTCAGCTCCATCATGGCCAGATTTGAAGCAGCTCATCTTTTTTCAATTAGTTTATTCTTCTTATTGTCACGATTATTCATTTTCTCTTACGTGGAAAAAACTTGCAGTATTTTAGGGTGTGTCCTCTGCTTCTTGCTGTAGTTTCTTTTATTTATCCTCTTACTTCACCCAAAACTGTTGGATTTTTTTGCTTTTATTATCTTTTTGCTTCAAGTAGTAGCTCCCACATTTTGGATGAACAACCTACACTGCTATTTGTATCTGTGATGTTACCATTACATGTGTGTAAGGAGCTGTCATTGCTTCTTAAGCTCCAGTCTGCTCTGGGGGTATAAAATAACATTATATATATATATATATTTATATATCTCCATATCTATCTGTCTGTCTGTCTATCTATCTATCTATCTATCTACCTACCTACCTACCTACCTACCTAATTTTTATTCTAGCTTTTTCAAAAACCAGCCTTATTATATGAATGTGAATCAGTTGTTAATTGCATTAGAAAGTTTTGACCTAAATGGGAAAAACGCAGTTGTAGAGATGAATAAATTGAAGCTTCAAGATAGAATCACTTCTTCAGATTTAAATTGTTGAATTTAAAAATGTAATTTGATATTCTTTGTAAAAAGTGAACTAGAATAACTAGTAAACCAGAATAAAATGCCAGTGATGATGACAAGTTCCTGATGTACTTATCTCAAAGTACATTAGAAAAGATTGGCAGTTTAATTTCAGCAGGATTTTATATTCTGCAGCTAGAATGAAACCTTCAGGTCCACTTGTAGCACGGAGCTGGATGATAAATGTGTCATGTTGTGGGCAGGCCTGGCCCTCTTGCTTACACTGTGCTCCTGTGGTGTCCCAAGGTGACAGATTCTAAATGTCAGGATTAATTAATGAGCAGGATTAATTAATGAGCACATCTGACCCCATATATCACAGACCATCATGTGCCATCCATGTGGACTCTTAAGAATGGTACCAAGGAAGTGCAGAATATGTGTGTGTGTCTGAAAAAGCATAACCTGGATTATAAGAAGTGAAATGGTAGAATATTAAATACATCTTTGGCTGCTTGTTCTGATGGTCAGCTCCCCTACATTAAAATTAGCTTCATTTTGAATATGACTTCTCCCTTAACTAGAATTTAACATCAGAAGCTGTTGATTTTCTTTTGACAATTTTGTTGGCTTTCTGATATTAAGCTTTTAAAATAACTAATGTTTTTAATTGTTTGAACACTGGAGTCTTCATGTACCCAGCTCAATCTTATAAATATTCAAAGCAGTTTAGGTTCTTTTGATTCATACTGTGAGAAATTTTCTCCTCCTTTCAAACTTCTGTGGCTCTTCTCTGTACTCTGTCCAATTTTTCAGCATTCTTTTAAAAATGTAGGTACTGGAACAGGACACAGCATTGCAGTGTCCCTTGCAAAGGTAAGATTACCACCTGTCCATATGTCCAAAGGAGTACAAAAGTGATTTTTCTCTCTTTTTTTGGTCAAGGCAGGACCTCTTGAGATCCTTGCCTACAGTAATTATTAAGCTCTTCTGAATTATTCCTTCTAGGATTTTGTCTCTGTTCTGCAGGTTCTTCCTGTGGGTGCCAGATGTATTCTGGTAGTAAAATACACAACTTGACCTTGAGTTGAGTTAATTTACATTTTTTAAATTATCCAGGGGCTGTCCCCTCCTCGATATTGTTTCTCCTTTCTTGGTGACACACAGAGACTCAGTGGAAGTGTTGAAGCTGGATAAATTGCAGATAAAGTGAGACTTCCCCTCTAGTGGGGAAAAGGTTTGTGCAGATGAGAACCACAGCTCGTGTTGGCAGCTGCAGGAGCACAGTTAGAGCTGTAAACTCAGATCTGCACAGGGGCACACTTGGAGAAACTGTGTAATGCCATTTATTTTCTAATACCACTATTTATTTAAAGTTTAAATTTTATCTCTGCAAAAGAAAAGTTATATAATTAGAACTGCAATAGCTAGTTAATAGAATTTGGATTTGTTTGATGTCCTCAGTGCCACGTAGCATCTATCTCAGTGAGCTTGAGCAGGGATTAAAAAAAATATCTCTGTATGTAGGCAGGTGAAAAATTGGTAGGAATTTGTGAGACCCACAATTTGCTTTTGTTTCTTTATTATTTGATGAGAGTTTGGGCTGATTGGGCTCGTGACATCTGGACATGAGAGTGGAAGTGGCCATGAGCCATGGGAGCCTCTGCATTTCCTTGGGAAAGTCCCTGCTGGAGATGAGGATGAGCCTCATGCAGTCTGGACTCTCAGTTTTGATAACCAGCTGCTGCTGAGTCAGTAGCCTCAAAATAGATTGTTTTCTGTGAATAACACAGTGCCAGACCTTCCATTTCTGCAGCTACTTTCTGCAGAATTCTGTAATCATGAGATGTTTTGGGGCTGGCTGGATGGCATTGTCACTTCAAAGTCCTTGTGCTGTGTAATTGGAACATAGCTGTGGGATTCATACCCAGATTGTGAGATTCATACCCAGCAGAACAAGTTTAGAGTTAAGTCTTCTAAGTCTGACTTCTCATTGCATTTCACAAGATGCACTTTGAGGAAAAAATAAAATAATTACTAAAAAAATGGAAAAAATGAAGGAGCTGTAACAGGAAGTGACTCTGCCTTGCATGTGGGAGAATAGAGTCAAGTAGAACAAATTGTCCTTGAATTCCAATTATTGTGATTATTTTGTATGATGGGAGTTGCCATGTTCACTGTGGTTTTGTTCTGTGTGGGCTTTTTGGGTTTTTTTTCTTTACCTCAAGCCTGTAAGTTGCACGGAAATCTTGAATGCAGGTTTTCTTTCCATCCCTTCTGTCTATGGTAGTATTCACTTCTCACTGCTTTGATGTTTGTGCTGAATTGTCCTTTCTTGATCCCTCCGCCCTGACCTCACTTGTTTATTCATGGTGGTTGTGTGGTTTGGGAATAGTGTTTCCCATTTCAGTGGGAGCATGCAGACAGTGCAGTGTCCACACAGCTCATATGTGAAAGGTGTCCTGATAACACACTGAACACCTTGTCCTGAATGAATCTAGACTTTGTTTCAATTAATATTTGCACCCTTGAATATCTCAAGTCTGATCAGTTAGTCTTGTACTTCTGTAGTCATTTTTGTGCAATTACCTGCCGTTCAGAATTTTTCCTTTGGTTCCAACGACATGTTAATGACCCTGTTTGGGGTGAGGCATGGCAGCATCACCATCTGAACACCAGTGACATGTGCAGCACACATGACAGGAATTGTCAAGTTGTTCTTCTTGGAGCAAAGCAGTTTTCCCTGAGCATGTTGCTGTATGCATGTTCTAAAATGTCTGCTTGAAACATCAGTTTCATGCAATAAATAGGTAAAATCTCTGTTCTTACACTGCTGGCAGCTGTTACTCACAGAAGTGGCACAGGACATGCAGTTTTGTTCAATGCACACCTCAAGGAAGGGGTAGGAGAGCTCCTGGCTGGTGTGGGCAGGGCAGGAACTGTGCTGGGATATGAGGAGCAGGGGCTGTGCAGTTCAGCCTGCCAGGCTGCTTCAGCACCAGCTGGGATGGAGCAGGATGGAGCCCATCCATCCCTGTGCTGGCAGCTCTTCCAGAGCCAGCCCCAGCTGAGGTGATGCTGCAGGGCTGCAGGGTGCTCTGGGTGCTGCTGCAGTGCTGCAGGGTGCTCTGGGTGCTGCTGCAGTGCTGCAGGGTGCTCTGGGAGCTGCTGCAGGGTGCTCTGGGAGCTGCAGGATTGCAGCTCCTGCTGCTCCTGGGGGACAGCCTCTGCCTCCTGGGGCCACCTGGGCAACTGCAGAGGAGCTGGCAAGGGGTTGCTGCACTTGTTCCAATCTTCTTGTCAACATTTCTGATAAAGCAAACAAGCATCATTTAGTAATGCTACTGAATTTATTTTTTTAGGATCTGGTCAACACTGGAGTCAGCACTTTCTTCTTTTTCATTGCCTCTGTAGTACTGGCTGCTTTAAACCATAAAACTGGAGCAGAAATTGCTGCTGTGGTAAGAATTTAAACTTGTTTATATCTGACTCTTGTGTTAAAAGTAACTTTTACTCATTGATCGAATACACCTCTTGCCTTTGCCATCACAATTTACTTCTACTTTCACAATTTACTATGAGACAGTTCAAGAGTGTTAACATCCTTGGAGCTTTGTCTGAAGGCTTGAGGCAAGAACAGCAGAGAAATGACTTGTGGAGAACACTTTACAATTGAATTCTTTGGTGCCTTACGTGGTCCTGCTCTATGTTGCAAGCCTATGGAAAAGATAGAGCCAAAAAGTCAGAAGAAATTGAAGCTGTTTACACATAATTTGTTGAGTTCTTGCTCAGTACAGGTGATTTTTTTGTTCTGTGCAGTGTAGTAGCACTTCAGGGTTTTACATCTATGATAGTCAGTTCAAACAAATTAATTTTGTGTGTGAACTGGTGACCTCTTATTATTTTTCTTTTTTATTTTCTTTTTAACCTGCCTTTTAAAATCATGAGTTCTGCAGAAGCATAGAGGAGAAACTGCAAAGCAGCTGCTTCTCCAGGCTGCTGCTCTGGAGGAGCATTGTCATGAGTTACCTCTGGTGACTGGACTTGTCCATTTCTGTGTGCACCCTGAGGCATGAATGAGCTTTTGGATGAAAGCTGGTTTCTTTACAAAAGGGTTTCTTTACACTGGGCTGCACTGCAGGATTTAATTGTCGTGTTGGTAGTCAGAGAACTCTGTTTTCTGGGATCATTGATCTTAGCCACTTCTGCAGATTCTCAAGTTCACTGAGAAGAAAAACATAATTACCCAGGCCATGATGATTTGTCAGTGCAAATAATGCAGGAAACTGAACTTTTGAGGACTTTGCTGTGAAACTACTTTTCTTCTTGTTTTCAAAACTTGTCTGTGACAACTCTTTCTGCTCCCTGTAGGTGTTTGGTTTCCTGGCAATGGCAGTGTATGCTGTGAACACGTTTTTAGCAGTTAAAAAGTGGCGGGTGAGCAGCAGGCAGCAGAGCAGCCGGCAGAGCAGCGACTACATCCGTGCTCGGACAGAGTCCAGGGAGGTGGTGCATCGCCCCGAGATCCTGCGCCTGGACGCGTGAGAGCCACCCTCAGATGGGACTGAAAGGGAAAAAAGCACTCAGCTCCCTCATGGAATAAGGGTTTTTGCTTTATTTAAGGAGGAAAAGGTGGATCGAGGGTGGCGGAGGATGCCCAGCCCTGCACGTGCGCAGAGATGCTTTGAGCCAGAAGCTGCTGTCATGGAGGCAGAAAGTGTTGGTTGTTCAAAAGGAAGATCCCCTCAAGACCTCCAGATATACACGTGCATATATTATATAGCTCATAGAATATATAATATATGTCTGTTCTGAAGTATGCCATTGTTTTGGATTAACTGCACAGCAGTTTTCCTTCTCCCTCTGAAGATGCACTGTTCTTCACCTGCCCCAGAGACAGAGCAGCCCTGCCCTGGCTGGCTGAGCGAGGAGGGACATCCACGGGAGCAGCTGGAACAGCCACGCGTGCCGAGGAGCCAGGGGCACTCAGCAATAACTCAGCCAGCCAGAGGGGTCTGTCCATCCCAGACTGTGTCTGTGTGTCCTGCTCCCTCCTGCCCTGAGCCTGCTGGAGACCGTTCCACGCCTTCCCTGGGCTGGGCTGGGCTGCGCTGCTGGCCACGGGGATGCACTGAGTGTGAGTAGGTGCTTGTCTGCTCCTGCTGGGAAACATTCCAGTTCTCATTCCAAAGTGGGAAAATAAAAATGTTTAGGAGACAGGGTGGAGCAAAGGGGCTTGAGGGATGCAGTAGAGAATGAAGGGGTTGTCATTCTATAGACTTACATTCCTGCCATAGCTTTATTTTTCTTTCTCTTTTTATTTTTGCTTTATTTTTTGTTTTAAGGTTCAACATTTCTAGAAGTTTTTGCTACAGCTCGCTTTCCCTGTAAGACCAGGGTAAGCAAGAACTGGCAAAAATTTATGTGCTTTTAAAATGTTCCTAAGGTTGCAGTGTTGTGGTTCATGAGGGTAAATATTTCTTTTTGGAAAAACGGTTGTTCTAAAATTAAACCTAAATTGGTAGTAGATAAACCTGATTTTTTATTTTAACTGGGTGTTTCTTCAGATTTATTCCCCTTATGTTTCTTTGAAAAATGAATTTAGTTAATTGGAAAATAATATGATTTTATTGATTTGTTTAGAAATAGTTTTACTTAGCTGAAGGGTTTTTTTTTATTATTATTTTCTTTGTACTTCCAGTGAATGAATTATGTTTTCTCTACTCAGAAATCAAATTCAGCAGTAATTGGCTAGACAATGTCACAATATTATTAGGAAGATGTCTCTTGATATTTTTCTGTTTCTTTGGTGTCTTTATCTCTATAGTGCATTATTTGGCATTTGTGTGCCTGTGTGAAGACAGTGTGTGGGAGGAGATCTCTGGAGCTGAACTCCTTTGTGGTGTGAGGAAAATGGAAATGTGTGCAATTAGTGGAACTGTTTGCCTGAGTTTGTGTGTCCTGCTGGAGCTGCACTGCTCAGGGTGAGTGCAGCACCTGGAGCCTTAAGAACAACAGGCAGTGTATTGTGGATAAATTGTTTAACCATGAAAACCAAGTTACACCAAGCAGGAGATCAGAAGTGCCTGGGCTTTTATAATACTGGAGGGAGCTGGGATAGTGAAAGTGTGAACCTAATGCTGCAATATTCAAATTGAGCATCAGAGAATTATTTCAATGAGTGAAAAAAAAGTGACAAAAGTGATGCCTTTTCATTTTCCATGTATTGACATCTACAGTGCACTTCACCTTAGTGGCTAAGATGGAGATTAAAATTCAGAGTTACTGATGAGGTTAAGAAAAATTTGCATTTTCTTAGTGATTGATGGTTTACCACTTCCTACAGTAATATTATATTGTACTTTATTGGATGCAATGCCAAAGGGAGCAGCAGTTTAAAAGGAGATTGAACCAACTCTTGGAGCTGGATTAGAACAGAGACATTGCACAGAGGGTTGTCACACCTGGGTGCATTCCCTGAGCAGCACATGGCAATTCCATGGCCAGTGTGGTAAGGAGTAACAATTTGTTATTCCCAGAAGCCCTGTGACAGCCCTGCTGTTTGCCAGCACTGACCAGGACTGGCAGAGTTTGCAATGTCAATTATTAAAGGACTTTTTAAAAGTAGCACAAGCATACCCAGTCTGGAATTGTTAACTGCCATCAAAGCAGTTTGTGTAAAGATTGTGGAAAACCCCAAGCAAACCAAAACCAAAAAACCCCTAAACATCCCACACCAAAATGAAGCCAAACCCACCTACAGAAAAATGAAATAGAGTTCTCCAGAAGATCCATGCTTTTAGAGTGGAGCTGCTGTCTGCAGTCAGGGAGCAGGATGGTGTTGCACAGGGATTTTGTGTTACACAGGGATTTTGTCAGGAGTGTGTCCTGTCACTGGCCAGGGCTGAAGGAGCATTCCCAGATCCTCTCCTGTGCTCCCCAGGCTCAGTGTGGTTGGGGCAGAGCTCTGGGAGCTCTCGTGCCTCTCTAGGTTTATGAATTTGGTACCTTTCAAACCCCTACACCTTTCCTGGCCTGGCAAAAGGGGAACTCGGGGGTTTTCTGTGGTGGGAGGTCCCAGCCCCTGTTGAGCTGCAGTGACAGGAGCAGAGTGGGGCAGTCACACCTCAGGGGCATCCTTGGGCAGTGGGGCTGGAATGGCTGCTGCAGGAGGGGTGAGTTTCCTCAGCTGGGAATGCCAGTATTTATTACTCACATCATGCCCTGAGCCTAGCACTGCTCTCAGGGTGGAATCCAAAAGAGAACAGTGATTTTAAAAATACTGTCTGATTCACTTTCTGAAGCAAAAGCAAATGTAAATGTGTAATTTCCTTATTTTTTGGGACCAAAGATGATTTTAGTATTGTACAGTATATACTTTCTAAAAAATCTTAAGCACTTACTGCTCTGCAGAGACATTATTTACTATGTGGATTATATAGAAGGGAAATAAAGTGAAAAACAACTACATTTGAAATATTAAGATAATTTGATGTATACATGGTTCATTCCCCTGGAGTTAATTTTACACAGTGTATTGGAGAGGTACTTTTTAAAGTATTATCTAAACTGCAGTCACACAAAAAAACCCTTAAGGGAGAAAAGAGGGTAGAAAGTTTAAACTTTTTTTAAACTTGCTTAGAAAAGTGACATTAAATTGTTTCTCTCAGCCAGTTAGTCTTGCTTGTAATTGCTAGCACATAGGGATAATTTCTTTCAGTCCTTGGGGGTGCTGTTTAGCTCCATAAAAGAGACTCAAATCCCACTGTAAACAGAACTAAATTAAAGCAAACAGTTGAACAGGATGCTTAAACAGTAACGGTTTGGATGAGTCCCCTTTGGTCAAAGAGAGCCCTTAGACCTGGAATCTTTGTGTATTTCTGGGTGTAGAATTGAGTAAATTCTGCAGCCTGTGCACAGACAGGGTGATCAGGAAGCTCTGGCTGCAGCAGCAGGGTGGGAGCTGTCGCTGGGTGCTGCCAGAGTCTGTTTGCCTCTCCCTGCTCAGCTGAGGTTTGTGCAAACAGCCCCAGCAGGAGCTCCTAAACCCACACAGGAACTCACTTATGTGTCTGAGTGAAGCCAATTCCTTCTTTCTCTCCTGCTTTTCCTTTCATTTGGAATATTCGTGCCTCGTGGATCAAATGCTTTAATATTTAATTCTTGCTCAGCCTTGTTTGCTGGTCTGTGTAGTGTCTGCTGCAGTGCCAGGAAGATCAGAATGTGTCCAACATCCCTTTCTTTCAGATGTGGTGCTCTTCCCTTTCCTGATGGCTTCAGAGGCTGGGCTGGGTGTTCTTTCCCGTGGGAAGCTGGTGCTGGTGTGAGATTCCTGGTAGGAGCCACATGCTTGGAGCTTGGGAGGGGTAGAGAGCGATCTCCCTGTGCCTTCTGAGAGACAGGCACTGGCTCCAGGGAGCTGACACTTCTGTGCTGCTCACTGGATTCAGGAGCTCAGCATCAGCAAATATCTGTGCCTTGGCAGCAGCTCCTCACCTTGCAGTTATAAGGTGTCTTCTACATGGGATTTCAATAAAGGATCAGTGTGTGTTGCTGTGTTGCTCTTTCATTGGCTTTGTCACGTGTTGTGACCAAGACTTTGTGTTTGTTCATCGCTCTGTGTCTCATGGCACGCTCTGGTGTTGTTTCACCTCTCTGTATTTCATTGCTGCTTCTAGAAAGAGGAGGGGAAGGTTCCCACTGTTCCTAAGGCAGTAGTTTATTTCCCCCTGTGAATTGTTGTGTCCCATGTGCTGATTGTCCCCTCCCAGCAGGGCAGTCAGTGCTTCCCCAGGTGCTGTGAGCACAGCAGGAGAGGATCTGCTGCAGGCACTTTGCTGCTCTGGGGCAGTTAGCCACCAGATCTGCAGGAGCTTTAAAGTCCCTAAATGAATTTGGGATTTGTCACCTCTCTGCTGTTTTGGGGGTGTGCAGGCACAGCAAATGCTTACCTAATCTGTGGCTTTATTAATGTAATCCTTTCTTCTTCCCTTTTGCTCAGGCCTCTTTCGGTATCTGTTATTTTCTTGTCTCATGTCGACTTTTTAATGATTTCTACTTGTTTTCTTACGTGAGGGGAAGAAACCACACCAAAAATCTAAAATAAGCAAGAATAATGGTTTTAGGGCATAATTAAAAAATGGAACCAAACTTAATTGCAGTTCAGATAGTGTAGGAAATATCCTCTCTCCTACTCAGCTGGGATACTGAACAGCTTTGTCCATGGAGGAGCATGAAGAACAGTTCCTGTCCTGAAAGCTCTGGAACCAAGAATCTTCAGCAGGCATTCAGAATAATAAAGAGGCACAGCCTGATAGGGGATTGGAGATGTGAGAAGGACATTTGACAATCCAGTGCTTCCAGAGTGAGACATGAGCAGTAAGAACCCTCAGTGGCCACTGCAGCCGTGGTGATCTCAGGGGCTGGGAAGGGGCTGGGGTTGTCCAGGGGGGGATCCAGGCTGGTCCCTGCTCAGTCCCACAGGAAGGAGTAAATCCAACCTCTGGCACTTCTGAAAATCAGGCACTTGGCTCGTGTTATTTGTAGCATGAAATAATGGATTGTTCATTGTCTGGAGGGCCAGCAAAGCTCAGAATTACTGTGCAGATTGAGGTGTCCTGTGTGTGAGTTTTATGGGCAACAAAAGCATTTTAAAATGATCCTGAAATCGGTACAAAAATGCATGGAATGTGTGAAAATACTTTGTAGAAATTATGCCATGTTCCTCTCTTTATTTTGACAGAGGGACTTGGTTAAAATGAATTTATACAAATACTCAGGAAATCTCTGAGTGACATTTTAGAGGATTTTC